TGGTTCTCTCTCCAGATCTCCTATACTCCCAATTCGCCTGTGAGTGGACGCGTTCAGTTTCCAAATAATCCTTTAACTCTCGCTCTCCGATTCCCGGCTTCCCCCCATATTGCTAGCGGAGGGGTGGGGAGTGAGAGGACATACAATCGTTTCCCATCTACTCGTTACATCATCTTCGGCGCACATCTCCTCCTATTCTCCGATTCTGCAGATCGATCCTTATTCTTTGCTCTGCGATCCTATTTATGTGCATGCAGAGCATTTGAAATCACGATATTGGTTTTTTTTTGTGGTGCAGCGATAAGAAACAGCGGGTAAATACAATGAATTAAACAAACCCCAATGTCCTTGTTAGCGCAAAATACAGCCCCAGTTTAACTACCTTGTTTTCTGGGGTATGCACCCAAGCATGGAGCGGACCATCGGATCGTAAGCTGCGAATGTTCTCTGGTTTTTTTTGCGTTCGTTTGCTCTTGTCTATGTGAATTAAGGGTATTGAACAAGAAGTGTTTGGAAATCATATCAAAGAATTAAACATGACACACTGAGAAAAAACAGTTGTTATGTTTAGCAAGATTTCGCGCTCGTCGTAGCGTGCGTCTCTACGACACTTCGTGTATACTCCCTCGCTGCAGATGAAGGGGTGTGTCAAGCAGTATAAGTGTGCCATGGCGCCAAACACGTTCTCTGCCAGTTCAATGCCAGTATTGAAGCGGGTCACACTTGGTAGAAAACGAGTGATATAATACAGTCTTGTCACTTGTTCGCTTCAATAAATGGTAGAAAACAGGTTTGGCACCGCGCCAAACTCGTCCCGCCTCACACCCTCCTTCGTCCGTAGGAATTAGACTATAAATGCGCTTTCTGCGCGGTAAAGTATATCCATGCAGTGCAGTACGATAAGGGTGATGATATATAGAAAAAATGCATACACCGAGGCTTTCCATGACACGAAATTGACTTAGGAAGGGAAGCATGACAACAAGGGTCCACTCAGGTTTCATGCAAAGCGAACTGATCTTTTTCGCATAAAAGGGTTAGTTTTGATTCACCCAAACCAGGGGTCTATCTTCTGCTGAACTCAGGCTACATATTCTCTGCCCTCGCTCGCAATCGTTTCATGACTGTTCTCCCAGAAGGCCCCATATTACTGAAATAGCGCCAAAATAGGCACTATGAAATACTGGTTTTTCACTGATGAATCACAATCTCGATTCCTTGGAAATATCCCATCATGAGCAGAATGTGCGTGTGCAGCATGAACTTAAAGAGGGTATCTTTGACGGGAATAGCTTTTTTCTTTGCACAAGGGAGTAACAGAAATCAACAGCTATTCACTTAAAGCGTTGGGATTTGATGAAGGTTTACTTTACCGGCGCTCGTTAAACCTTCACTAATATTGCCATATGAAGACTTATATGAACAAGTTTCTACACAGGGAAGCTCACTGCGTGGACTCATCTTCTCCCACATCGCCAGAAACCGAAGAAGCTGATGGCGAGGAAGATATTGTCGATTTATGTCGAAGACTCGATACCCAACTCGAAGAGAAGGCAAAAATGCACAATTTGAACGCTTTAAATGTCAAGTCGATCCTCCATGTAAGTCTTCACTTTGTAGGATTGGGTACCTCTTTCCACCTTTTATTGGACTTTACCATTACATTTTCAGCGCCTAATCAAGGATCCTCATGTTTTGTCGAAGCTTATGGGTATAAAAGGAGACACAGATGATATTCCTAGTTTGAAGGTTACACGGTCTAAAGTAAAGCATTCCGCAGAACCAGCTAAGGTGAGTCACGTCTCAAAATCTTATCTCTTTACTAACAGAATTGTCCCTTCTCTCATTCAGAAACCACAAACATCATCTTTGAATAGCTTTTGCCTTTAAGGTTGAATTGAGACCTGTTCCTCCACCGAGAACATTTCTTGACGTACAGTTTGAAAATGAAGACGAGGATGAAGATTACAGGCCGGAGGACGTGCAGGTGTTGTTTTCTTTTCGACTTCCCTTTTTGTAGTCCTTTGCTCTAAGAATTTCGCATTGCCTTTTGGTGCTGCCTTGTTTGCTGAGCGTTTATTTTACTTTTTTTTCCTTTTCCTGATCACAACTCGTCTTTTTCACTTTGGCTATTTT